TTGACTAATTGGTTCATATAACAATGCTTGATTCATCAAACATATCGCTGAGTACACTACACTGTCCAGATAACCGTGCAAGTACTTAAAAAATGACAATTGGCATATAGTTCTCCATTGAATGAACTTTTTACGGAAGCGCAGAAGGGCCACATATTTTTATTATTTGTTTCTTGGAAATTACGACTTTGAATCTCGAAATTTCGACTTTTATCTCGAATTTTCGACTTTCATCTGGAAATTTCGACTTTTATCTGGAAATTTCGACTTTAATCTCGTTATTTCGAAATTACGACGTCAAACTCGAAATTTCGACTTCAATCTCGAAATATGGACTTTAATCTCGAAATTTTGACTTTGATCTCGAAATTTTAACTTAATTTCGAAATTTTGACTTAATCTCGAAATTTCGACTTCAATCTCGAAATTTCGACTTTAATCTCGAAATTTCGATTTTAATCTCGAAATTTCGACTTTAATCTCGAAATTTCGACTTTATTCTCGAAATTTCTACTTCAATCTCGAAATTTCGAGATAAAAGTCGAAATTTAGATTCAAAGTCATAATTTTCAAGAAACAAACAATAAAAATATGTGGCCCTTCTGCACTTCCGTACCATTTTCCTGTATACCTAATTTTGCCAAACGGCGCCGGATATAGGCTCTACTTACCGCTACTTCATCCTATACCGGGGGTTGCTTTTACAGTGGGGGTGGATGATCCCCTTTCTCGGGGGTGAAAAATATTTCATTGATGATAAGTTTGTGAATGGATGGATAGTCTAATTGTCAGCAATTTTTGTTATATATAGATTTTTCTGAAAGATGTTTTCTTTGACTTATTCGCGAGTGAAAATGACAATTTTTCAATCAATAAACTTACGTTTCCAGACAGCTTCCAAACACCCTGTATAATTTTAAGAATTTAATAGAATTGGTTTGATTTCGCGTTGAAACTTTCAATTTTGGTATTTGATAACTGAGAACCAACTTCAAACAAGTTATTCTTACTCGGATTGTATTTGGTCTACAGATATTATGAATCATGATTCTGTTGGGAAAGATAGGTTTTGGTTTTCTACTTTCTCATTTTCAGACAAAAAATTGTGGGAATCTTTCAAAGAAAAGGAGAAAGCAATCAATTAAAAAAAATTAACTCTAACCAAGATTTGTAGATCATGGAAAGAAGTAGTTTACATGAAAAATGAGAAATAAAACTTTTCATGTTTTTCTACCACTTGAATTTGTAACTAACGTTACTGCAGTTTCGTCCTAGAGGGACATTTTCAAACGAGTTTATTGTATATGAATATTCAATGTTTTGTAATCCTTTAATGCGGCATTCATTGAATCAATGGCTTTATCTAAGCTTGTATCATAGCATGCCAATAGTGTATCATCTGCAAATAAATTTATGAAATCAACATTTATAAACAAGTGTATGTCATTAAGGTATAAGATAAAAAGAGGTCCTTAAACGCTACCCTGAGGCACACCTATATGCATATCCAATTCCTGTGAGATATTATCTTGAACTCTGACTTTTTGCTTTCTATGGGATACATAGTCAGATAACTATTGTTAAACATCACCAACAATGCCACAACCTCTTAATTTTTTTAGAAGAATATTTCGATCAATTGTTTCAAACGCCCTCTTTAGATCAAGAAGAACAGCTACTACAAATTTATTGTTATCAACTTCTTTATTGAATTAAGATAAAGTGAATTGAAGAATCATGGATAAACTTACTTCAGAATTTGAAAAATATTTCAAAAATCATAAATATGGGTATTTCATTTGAAATAAGAGAATTATTTCTTCAATAACTAGAAGTGAAAGTGAAATGAAAATATGTCAAACGGATAAATCAGTACCGAATATATTTGAAATATGTGTGCTTCCAAAATACGTCTAACACTCGTGTAGAATCACCTTGTAGAATAATATGGTAAATTGTAAATACGAGTATACTGTATACATGAAATATGGTTGACAATATTTTGAGCGCGTACCCTACTTCTAAAAGATCAATATCAATAATCTAAAAATTTTGGACATTCGTGTATTCAGTATTCCGATATCCATCTTGTACAAATCGATCTTCGAGAATATGAACTTGAACAATATTCACCTACCTTGATGGTCGCGGTACAAAACGGTAAAGCACAATTACCTACAAAGGTAAATGCATCACTCTCTGAAAATACGGTAGTCTTACGTACACACGCATGTAATAACTTTTTATCTGCACGGCACTTCAGTCATTGAACAAGAATAACAGTTATTTTCAACGGGCTTATAAAAGAACAAATAATTGTTTTGTGAAGGATATAGGAAGGTTATATTTTTCATAAAATTTGAGTCGAATCAACGAAGGATTTTTGTCGGGAAGTTGTTAGAAAAAGTATCGATTTTGAATATTTTTGTTTCATTATATCATTTGAAATCTAACAATATGTTTATTTTTATAAAAAGTGAGTAATGCGTTTATTTTCTTTGAAAAAATTTTTGGTATAGATTAGATTAGATTTTTTATTGGTCAAGTTATTACACCTTGCTATGACAAGTCAATAATGTATAAAATAAATGTAAATTACAATTAAAATTACGGAAAAGGAGTAGGTAGTACATAAAAATTGTATATGATACAAGCAAAAAACAAAGTAAATAAATATATAAATGTAAAAATAAAAATGTAAAAATAAAGATACATAGTGACAGTACCTACATTGACGATAGTCACTCTGTAAAGCTGAAGTCAGATGTATCATAGTAAGCATTATATAAGAGATGTTTTTTCAGTTTCCGTTTGAAATTAGCAAGGGTTGCATTTTTCATTGATTGGGGCAGTGAGTTGTACAATGATATATATGAGTTACATCTCCTTGTTATTTCTAGTTCTAGTAGAGCACCAATTGGTTTGGTGCTCTACTATTATCCTTGTTCCTAGTATTATACTTTTGTAAATTTTCTTGAATGTGTATCAAATTGCAGTATATTACACATGATGGCAGAGTTAATATATTGAACTTAATAAACCAATTTTTACAGCTCTCCATTTGACCTATTCCAGCTAAAGCTCTGATTGCTCTTTTTTGAATTTTAAATATTCTCGAGATATGAACAGATGTGCCCTAGTTTATCAATCCATAAATTAAGGAACTATGAAACATTGCATGATAAGCGGTATGGACAGCTTCTTTACCGACTTTATTTTTTATCTGCCTGATTGCATAGATCTTGCATGATAGATTTTTTGCTAGTTTGTCAATATGGGGTTTCCAAGTTAACTTTGAATCAATGGTTATACCAAGACATTTCATATTATTTGAGAGATTATGAGACGGCGAGAACATAACTGTTTGTATCTTCCTCTAATTCACACATAGGCTATTCGCATTAAACCAGTCCGTAGCTTCTTTAATAACTCGCTTTTCTAATTCTGATGACTCTTCAATATTTTTTTTTTCGAATGGCGAAGGAAGTGTCATCGGCGAATAGAATTGTAAACATTGTCATTGAATTTGGCAGGTCATTAATAAAGATCAAGAAAAGTTTTTGCGATAACTGGAAGTAGTGCAATTGGTCTGTAGTTTGAAGGAAGACTGATATCACCACTTTTGAACACAGTAATTATCTTTGCAATTTTTAGTTTTGATGGAAATACACCAGATTTCATAATCAAGTTGACAATACATGTAATTGGTCGTAGTAGCGCAGATAGGTTTTCTTTGTACATAACCACTGAGTGATTGTAAATATCAAGCGAGCCCGAGATTTTTAGGAATTTGATGACTTCATTTACCTCTGCAGTGGATTCACAAAGGAGAATAAACATTTTTTGGAGAAACTGGGAATCCTATCAGGTTCGGAAATTAACTTGTTTGGAAGAGACTCAATTTTCTCATAAATGTCAGTGGTTGAGAAGAGCTTTGAACAATTGATATTTGCATTTGAAAATTTATTATTGAGGACATCATTACTACTTACACATAAACTTTTGAAAAGTGCTTTGCAAACAATTCAGCAATCTCTAGATCACCTTCTGCCAAAACGTCAATCAGAATCAAGTGGTTTCATCATAAACTGACCTTGAGTCAGTTTAGGTTATCACTGACATAATCTTGCATCTATCTCTTAATATTGAAAAATCAAAATAGAATAATATGTTGCGTTGATTCTTTTTACTTCATATGAAGTATTTTATTTCGTATTATTGAATGTTTCAAATCCGCATTGAATCATATTGGGAAGGTTACGGCTTTATGATGTTTTCGTGGAACAAATAGGGTTATGGCTGAATCCATAATATGGTAAAAGTTATCAGTAGCCACAAGGATATTGTTTAGATCTCAACACTGTAACCAATCGATTGGAGCTAGGAAATTATTCAAATCAATACTGGAAAGTATAATAGAATTCACAATTCATATTATGTGTATCACTATAGCCTGTGTGTAATTACAATGAATAAGGTTTGTGATGAATGAAATTAGAAAACAACTGATATTATATTAAAAGCAAATTAAAAGTTTGCTCTATGAACAATCCATAAGATCAATCCAGTTTTCTTATGATTAAAGCAATGCTGTTATTTTACCAAGAACAAACTTCTAACTTATAAGTAACAACTTGTGAGTTTTAATTTCAAAATGATACATCAAGTATTTAAGATTTCTGTCAAAAATTAATAAAACATCACATCAGGTGCCAATATATGTTTATGTCACGCATGTTTTGCAATCTTTCTCTGAATCAAACAAGGAAAACATAAAAATGAGACACACTTTGTTGGTCAGATGTTGTCACAACATGGTTAATCTATGTAAATTTGATGATTATTTTGAAAATGAACGTTTCTAACCACTTAAATCTGCCTCGAAGCAAAATAATAATTTCATAATCTAATGTGACTTCTATCATATCACATGAAATGTCAAGCTGTGGCTTAAAGAAAAAATAAATAAACTGAAATATTGAAAAAACAGCCTTGTATGCTTTAGCAATTAAACATCAAAAAGCATTTTTTTTACCTGGACGTTCTTCAATTTCACTTCTTTCACCTAGGGAAAAAAAAGATCTCTCAGTCACTATTGCAATTATTTTGTTACAAAATCTGCACACGACTTGATATCAATAAAGAAATATTTAATTCCTTCTCTACTGCTCGATTCGTTATTGAAATAAATGAAAAAGTTTTCTTATATGCATTAGTCATCAATACTCTTAGTATCAATGTCATAAAAATGAGAATGAATGATATTTTGCCGACATTCTTTCTGTTAAAGTGTGACTACAGAAACCGGAGGTAGAGGTAGAATTCTGCCTATCTCGTTTCATTTGTTCTGAAGTGTGTTCTGATTAATAAAAACAATGTATTTCATCACTTCGGAATTCCATTGTCTAATGTCTAATATAATATAAATTGATTTGAAATCTCTGAAAGAATCTGTAAAAAATTAAAAAAGATTAATCGAAAAATAACAATTTTATTAAACATAAACTGAAATTACAAAGAAATAACATATAATAACAACGAAAAAATAAAATAATACTACAAGCTGAAAATTAACTAAAATTATTAGATTCCAAACTAAGTTACGTCACGACGTTTCGATTGTTATTATCTACAATGGTCTTTGGGTAATAACTGGACTTATTCCTCCGAGATCTGACTATTTATAGATCATTCGAGTGCTTTCACCTATCCCCTCTTCCCTCTCTACGCTTCATTGGTTTTAGCAGGATATGACCGTTTGGCGGGAGTTGGTAGTTTTCCGCTTGATTAGAGGTTTCCATATGTTACGTATCTCTACGCTAGCTTGGCTAAATGCGTTGTTGGACAACATATATGCGGCTTCTTTGAATTTTCTCCTAAACCAGTGTTCCTCCTTGTGGATGATTTCAGCTTGAGCCCACTTGATGTTATGTTGATGAGTCCAAACATGCTCTGCTATTCCGGATTTGCTGGTTTCTCCTCGCTGTGTGTGTTTCTTGTGCTCAGCAATGCGAACTTTTAATGGCCTCTTAATTTCATCGATGTATGATTCTCCGCACTCGCAGGGTATCCGGCCCGCGTTTGGTGGCTTGGTTTTCGTGAGGCTGCTACGGATAGTGTTCCCAGAACTGAAGCAGGTCCGGATGTTATACTTGCACCCAATCCTTCTTATCCTTTCCGATAATCCTCTGATGTAGGTAAGTACAAGAACTGATTGTGGCGGTTTCTCCTCCTAATGGAGCTCTTGCTGTCTTCTAGCTGAAGCTTGTTCTGTAAAGAATTCATCCTTCACTTTACGCAAGATGAGAGACTGCCAATGGGATCGCCACTTTCACCGGTTATAGCCAATATATATATATGGGGTGGTTTAAAACTCTGGCCATTGAAGAAGCCGACAAGAAGCCCCGAGTCTGGTTGAGATACATAGACGACACTTTCATAATATGGAACCACGGGAATGCAGAACTAGACACTTTCCTGAATTACATCAACAACGTAAGTCCTTCCATCACTTTCACAATGGAAAAGGAAGTCCACAACCAATTGCCTTTCTTAGACGTATTGGTGAAGAGGACCGACACTAAATGGCAAACATCTGTATATCAAAAACCCACTCACACAGGACAGTCACTGAACTAGAAATCCAACCAATCGACTAAGAGAGGAATCATCAAGACTCTACTAGACTGTGCTTTTGGGCTCTGTAATACAAAGAAAGGTCTCGAAAATGAACTATGCATCATCAAAAATGACCTTCAAAGGAATGGTTACTCCAGAGTGATGGTAGAACAGGCTTTAGCTAGAAGACAGCAAGAGCTCCTCCACAAAGAGGAGAAGCCACCACAACCAGTACTTGTACTTCCCTACATCAGAGGATTATCGGAAAGGATAAGAAGGATTGGGTCCAAGTATAACATCAGGACCTGCTTCAGATTTGGGAACACTATCTGTAACAGCCTCACGAAAACCAGGCCACCAAACGCGGACTGAGATTCTAAGAATTGCATTTACCGGATACCCTGCGAGTGCGGAGAATCATACATCGGTGAAACTAAGAGGCCATTGAAAGTTCGCATTGCTGAGCACAAGAAACACACACGACCACGAAACATTGTCAACCACCTTCAAACAAATAAAAACAATGTTTCTCTATTTGAAAGACAATAGTTATATTCACTTGTGTCTGCATGATTTTACATAAAATCAACACCTGATTCACATTTGTGTTTTTAGTTACAAAAGAAATTGTTAGAAGTCTGACATTATTATGTCACCCAGTACCCATTGCAAAAGAGTTGAGGCATCTTTCTTCTTGAGTTTGGAAAAAATCATCTATGGATTATCTACACATTTCCAAGCTAGTGTTTTCTGATATACTGTAGTTGATAATAAGAAATGTCTACAATAAATCGTATATATTTGACTCACCAGCAGCTAAGTTGGGTTCACTTTCTTCCAGAGTTCGCCAAGAAGTAGCCAAAGAATGAACAGCATATCTGTGTAGAGGAAACAACAATCTAGGAATATTACTTTCTATCCAGTGGGTAACAAAAGAAGATGAAAGGCTTTTTTTAGTATGAAAACAACTATCAACTACAGCCTTGAGGGTCTTATTAGAAGACAGGCACATCTGGGGACCTTCTGAATAATGATCCATGCTTATGTGGTATGTTGACATGAGTAACGATTTCATATCGTCTGGAGTCATAACATCAACACCTTTTTCTTCATCATAGGAAGTCCACATTTTTACTAATATTTCGCGTACTTTTTCGTCATCTATTATCTGGAATTTGGGAAGGAATCATCATGTGATTGATAAAGTTTTTGAATAACGCTTACCCCTAAATAGGTCTCGCACTGTTGTTTAAAGGCATTCGTATTGATGTAAGTATTTTTCGAATTGCAGGCCTTGTGAAAATATTTGAACAATTTCTCTCCAAGAACTAGATATCTTGGAAACAAGCAACGCTAAAAAAAAAGAATTTTTAATAGGCATATATGTCAGCCAATGTCGTTGAAATTGATTTGAAGATCTCATTAAATCAAATATTCATTCAAAAAGTTTTTATGTAAGGAAAAATGATAAGACAAATAAAAACAGTAATGATGCTTGTTTTACCAGGAGAACTCAGGAAAATTGGGAGATTATGTATTAACAATATACAATTTTGAATATTTTCAAAACAACCTTCTCATTATGAAAACTAACACACAGAGTTAGGAATTATCCTACTTCTCCTGAAAATGCCAACTTGGTTGATAAAACGTGAGTCGAAAATAGTGTTACAGTTCTGGTGTTTGGGAACAGTGCTAGTTTTTGAAATCATTAAGCTCTAAGAGGTTATCTGTGGATGAGAGAGATGTATGTCAACTTGTCAATGTTTAGTAACTCGTTTAATTGAATTTAAGTTTACTGGTCAAGATAGTGCATAGATGTACACATGTTACAAAAAAATGGGTTTTATGCCAATAATTATGTCTTTCCTTTCAAAAGTAATATAAAAGTTGTATTCAAAATAAGCCTCTCATATTTTCATGAAATTTGTTCACAATATTGATTGAAGAAAGTAGGTGTTTTTACTATAAATACAGAAAAATTCAACAAAAAACATACTGCTTCAGGAAGCTACTTTATACTGAAACACATGCCTGTTTTTGAAAAAAACGGCACTTCAGCCATGAGAGGGGTTTTATGATCCACAATTATAGTACACGCAATGCTAATTGTATACGTTTGCCATTCTCTCGCTTATCACTGGGACAGAATTCATATATGTATCAGGGAATTATTTGCTATAATCACACAGTCACACTAATGGGTGAAATTGAGAGCTTTAAATTATTTAAATCAAAATTGTTTGATCTTTTATGTTCAAATGCCTTTTATTCAATGGACGAGTTCTTAGCATTCTGTTCATAGTATATATAAATTGGTATAGGGTAGCTTATGCTTGTATTTTTATACTAATTGTATTTGTTGTATGTCTGACTAGTCCGATAAGTTTTAGGGTGACAAGTTTATAAGCTGTATCTTGTAAAACTTCAGTGATGAATAAACATATCTATCTATCATGTAATTGTGAAAATCTTACAGTAAACTTTATAAGCTTCAATATAGAATTTCATCAAGTATTGGCGAGTTCAATTCATTTTTTAACAAAAAAAAGTTGCATTTTGAGGTTCTCGTTATTTTTCTCCCCTTAAAATGTCCTATTTAGTCCAGTGGAGTGTTTTGTGATAAGCGTCAGTCCATTCAACCTACTGTGTAGATATATCCGAGACGGGCTTGAACATTTAAAGTTCATTTCTTTACTGCCTGTATTCAAGCATAGCCCACTGACTAATAAGAAAAAAACAAAGAACAGTGTCATGTCTTGAGATTTTTCTCATTCAACTTCATTCATATATGTTGAAATAAAAAATAAGACTAATAAAAAATATGTTCATTCAAAAAACATCCAAATAAAATCCTTTACAAAACTAATGATTGATTTTTCAAAAAAAAGGTCGAATAAATATTACATGTTACATACATACAAGTACATATCATGTACATGAACAAAAAACATTTAAATAAAAACCCCTACAAAAAAACTTGAAAAGTTGACAAATCAATTACTAAACTTATATCCATCAATAACCACACAGAAGTATGAGATCATACACTATCAAGACTGGAGTGATGATTGAAGTGAACAAAATCTGGGTTGGTAGACTGTGTCAAATGGAACTTGTCTCAGCAATGATCAAGTCAGACTTTGAGATACTTCAAGATTCACATATACCACTGAAGATGTCTGCCTCAGTAGCAGACAAAACATTTACTACTACAAGTTCCTTTTGACTACAGCCTACTACCCCGGGGATGTTGTTCTTTTTAATCACTCTAGGGTGTAGTTTATTGTTAATGACAATTCTAATTTATAGCTCTAAGTGTCTAAGACAATTTAAAAATGTTTGATGCGAGTTTGACAGTTGGACAAGATTTAAATATGTATTCTAGTCTTAATGAGAAAATAAATGAGTAGCCTGAAACAAATTCTTATAACTCACGCTGAATACTTGTAAAGTTATTCCATTTACGCCTTCCTCAATTTGAGACTTTTCCGTCAGAATCTGAAAAATGATTATCAATTAATTTATTTTAATTCCTCACAAATCAAATACATGTTAACTCAAATTCAAAGGGATGAGCTCAGTAGTTTACAAGTAGTTGAAACACACTAATCACAAAAGTATAGTTTGAAAAGACTGAATGAATATATAGAATAACAGTAGTTAGATTATTTGATTGTCTTGTTCTATCACAGTTCTATTTTTATTATCTTTTCTTTTTATTTGTTCTCTTTTCAGGGTTAAGTGGAAGAACATTTTCCGTGATGTATTTCATTATGGAAAATGAACTTCGCCCTTTATTTCAATTGTAAGTTGAATATATAAGTTATATTATGTTTTTTGTTTTGGTTATGAAATAATAAAGGCGTTATTATTATTATTATAATTACTCAAAGAATTCAGTTTGCCTTTCATGTACCCGAAGACCTTTGATAGGTAGGATTGGAAACTCTGGTGTAAAATGAAGATATTTATGGATAATGGAATAGCTCACAAATGTTATTTAATTGATTTTATTTTTTTTTATGAATGTATGAAGGATTTTCTGAGCTAATATAAGTTTTTCAGGAATAAACGACTATCAAATACGTTCGTCCAAATGCTAACACAGGATTTAGTTTCGTGTGAATGGGGGGCGAACTTGAATGAGTGATTTGTTGATTTATACAAATATCAATAGAGGTAATGACTAGAATGAAAAACTTCACATAAAATGAAGATTTGGCGAGTTTTTAATGCAACTCAAGTAAATATGTATCAAATTCTGAAACTATTTTCGTAACACATCTGAATTTTCAGTATATGGGAAGGAGAAAGCACAGTCTGATCTTCTATTAGAAATGTCTTGTAGAAACTTCCCACGAGTGACCACTCGTGGTCACTCGTGGGAAATAGCATTGTAGCGTGAAATAGCATTGTATTTTATACAATTTTTTATCCATTTTGAAACTGGCACATCATACAACTACTTCAGATATTATTTATATAATTTTTCTCGCAGAATATTCTGAGGTACAATTATTTTCAAAAAGCAGGTTTTTAGCAGTTTGAAAATGTTTATTTCACCTATTTTTTTATTGGAACATATCACTTTTCTGGCTACACTAACTACAACACATCTTGATTATATGCATCAACAAGGATGTTACTCATTAGTCCATTTGGAACATATGATTATAAATCAGAAGTAGTACAGCCAACTCCAGTGCATACTAAAATTGGTTGCTGTAATAGGTAGCACTGAACTTACTTTCTTTCTCAATACACTAGAATCGTCACGTATTATTGAATATGAACTAAGAAAACTTCATTCAGAGGGGTCATTCCTATTGACATATGGACACGCCTACACGTTCAATACCTTCACTCACACTTCACCTTGACTATGTATCTCATATACGCATTAATAAATTGAGTTATTATGGTCTAGCATGCACTGCTTTAGAGTAAGTGTGTTCTTACTTAGCAAATATTTATGAGTGTGTGGATCTAAATAATGAAAGCTTAGATTTGAAACTTATATGCCGGAGTGTTTCTCAAGGACTCAAGACTATAATTATTTATATGAACAAATAGATTTAACTCAGAACCTAACAAATACCTGATTCACTTTTATTGATCTTAATGATAAAAGTCCCAAAATATTGTTATATCCTCAAACACAATGTTAAACATGGAAAATGTTGAATTTTTAGGTTTTGTCTTTGATGGTCAAGTCGCATTGAGAGTATTAACTGTAAACTCAATAGTGCTTTTTTTGTCTTCAGGCAATTGAGAAATCCACTATTACACACAACTATGATTGTCTCGAAGCTATTTTCAGGGTTTATTGGCCTTTGTCTGCAAGGTTTTTTGCCTGATGTTTCATCTGCTACTGCAGTATTTATTATCAAAAATAATGAGAATATGGATGAAGTGCTTGGTTTGTGGATACTACATTTAAGGAAGGGTCTTTGGTTTTGTACCATTGGTAAAGGGGGTGCCTTCGTTTCTATTGTTCCAATTGAATGAGACTTTTTAGGAGTGTGATTTAGTGCAGGTGGCCAGACTTTGTTTATATCAATTTCCTCTTCTTTTTGATTAAAATTATTCTTGTTTTTCAATTTATATTGTCTATCTATATATCTTTGAGTAGTAGCTCTGAACTCTAGCAAGCACCTGGGTCTTTTGAAATGCAATAACGTGGATACCTTCGCAGAGTCCATGTTCCGCTACTGCTGAGTTGTCGGTGTGTTACAGACAACATATTCTCTTCTGTTCAGAGAGCAGAGTACTTCTCTTAGTGGTTCCAATGTAGACCAATCCACAGCTACAAGGGATCTAATATACCTACGGTGTTACTAAAGGCATGTATACCGATTGTACCAAAGGTTTCTCCAAAGTACATATTCCCAATTTGGTCCATAATATGTTCCACATACGAATGCTTTTCTACTGGCTGGCTCGTTTTTAGTTGCTTTGGAATTTTTTCTCTAAGGGTCATATCGCCCTCTTGAATGCGGTTTCACTATATCTATTTCCTATGCATTAGGCCCTCTCAACTAGTCTTAATTACCCCCTCTATTGTCTCGGCTGACAGTTGGTTTTTATTCAGATATCTGTCTATATGTGTTGATTTTCTGTACTCTCTATGACGCAATGTTCGATCTACTTGAGTGTATTTATGGTTACAGAATTTGGCAAAACAATATTTTGTTTATCTTATTTCAATAAGGGCAAATTAGATTTATTGAGATTTTGAACTTTTGTGATATGCTAAGTTTTCAAATGTTGCAACAGTCCCTGATTTGCCATAAATTTAGTCTATTCTTCCTAACCTTTGCCTAGCAACGGTGGCCACATGACTCATATTGCTGCATTTTTACTCAAGTTTGCAAACAAAATATTTTTTGATCATGCACCATTTGAAAACTAAGTATATGTTTGAATGGAAAAAGGAATATATTTTGTATAATTATGAAGAGAAATAGAAAGCTTATGTTCATAGGAATTGTTATTGTCACAAGCGCAGTGTTTCTTTCGGTAGCATAAAGTCCTAATTTTAAGGAAGAATTGAGTGCTTTCTCTTTCAAAGTTATCCAAAAAGATGCTGATGAGGATTTGTAGACTAGTGTTTTCACCTTAAACTTCAGAATACACCTAGGGATTGATAGTTTTCCATGTAACTGAAATTGTATATCAATGCTTCTTCATATATCAAGTTGTGTAGCATTCCTATGAATGATATCTGTTTCAAATCAATTATGAATGTTTGAAGTACAAACTGAAAAGAAAGAAGTGATTTTCATGTAGTTCAATGTTCATATGTTTCAAAGTAATTATTTCGGATGAATATTTTCTTCCAGTTTGTATCTTGTAGAGAATTTTCATCTTCTTTTTGTTAACTTTTTTGTTAATTTATCAGTTTCTGGTGAAAAAGTAAGACAAAATGACGGAAATCCTACTATGAAGTAGAAAAAGTAGGACGAATATGAGGCCTGATCTACTTTCTGGAGCAGTTTATGTGAATATCATCAGAAAATAATTTTAACGTTTTCCCTTAAGAAATATGAACTTCATTTTGAAGAATTCTTTATTCTTCTGATTCTTTCGAACAGCAGATCTTCTTGGATTGAAGCAAAAAGAATTTGAAAATAAGAGAAGGATTTTCAGAATGTAAGAAAAAAGTGATACTGTTCAATGACACCTTCTTCCATATGTCTTTCATGGCAGGAAAGATGGTATCAAATTATAAGATGGTGATATTTTATTTCAGGAGATATTAATTACATCACCTTTGCTAGTTTTTCTACAGGTAACATTTGACTAGGCTTCTCTTGACTCTGGCTATCTGTCTCTGAAACTGAGCCAGTTATACTCTTTCTAGATCCATTGCGTGAATGTACTGCAGAATTTGGAGTGGCATTTCCAGATTTTGATCCATGTCCGTGATGGTTACCCATTTTTATATTCTTTTCAAAACATTATACGTACATCACACTCCCATAATCAGATGGTGATAAGGCTCAGGCTGACGCCGCTAGCAGCAGCAGTGTCGCGTGTCGCTTGTCAAATATCACCTGTCCCAATCAAGCAGTGCTGCCAGATCAAAAAAGTTGAAAGCGGTAATCGAGCCACCCAAAAAGCGGTAAATTTTCAAATAATACGAATTTTTTTTGTTTTGATTCGAGTGAGATTTTATGCCAATTTCTGAGAAAAATTGTAAAACCCCTTTGGAACATTATTTATTGAAAGGTATATTGAATATCAGCTATGATGAATTATGAATTTATGAATCGGGTGATCTCGGTGGCCAATCCCACAACCCTCAATGACTAAGCCAACGATCATCAAACATTTCGTGAAATTTCCTGGAAACTTCCATGATGGAATGAGCTGGCGCTCCGTCCAGTTGAAACCACGAATTCCTTTATTCCTCTAAAGGCAAATTTTCCAGGAAATCGTAACAGTCGTCCTTAATATTTGAGAAACACCGTCAATAACCATTTATCAATTAATTATAAAAGTCACCAAACTGTCATAAGCTTGATATTTCCACGGCAACCTAAAAGAAAATTCTTTATTTTTTTTTAATAATTTTTTGTACAACTGTCGTAAAAATATCTCGAATAAAAACACTTCAATCAGAACACCCACTTATTAGAAAGAATCATTTAGAAAGTCCTTCTTGACTAACCAGAAATCACATTTCAAATAATTTGCGTTGACGCATGTAGTTGGAGCATCTGTGATTCAAAGATCATGTGTTCGAATCCCATGAATCTATTTTTTTATTACCAGCAGTAACTATTGTACAAAAAAATTGTATGATACATTTATTAAAAGTGATTTAATTTTGCTAGGTATAAGGACATGATATACTTATCATCTTGAAGCACTTTTCATCATCTTTCAATTTATCGACTAATATAGAGGGGGTTTCATTTGAAGAACTGAACTTTCGACCACTTTTATGCATAATGGAATTGATAGTAATTTTATGATATAGAGTCAATTTAATGATTTTTATTAAATATGTCCAGTTTCTCGAAACTATCATCAAAATACTAACTTTTCATGAATTGAGAGTACTGATGTACCCATTATCATGATAATGGGGTTGAACCCGAAACGGTCGTATAAATAAAATTAACTAGTGGCAATTAGACAAAAATGTTTTCATTCGTTTTATTAATATATACGGAAATTACAGACGATCATACGTTTTCGATTGTTTAGAACATATATTGCAAACTTTCAATTTCTTTTTTATTTCTCTCTCCTTCAATTATTGCTTCTGTTCATCAATATTTCCCCCACGTCCAAGAGATCAAAGTTCGTTAACTCAAAAAAAAAAAAATGATGTCAAATAAGACTTTTGAAAAATAAAATGTAAATTACTGAGAGATATACAGGGTGTTCATTTGAAAACTTCCCACCACGGATTTATCGAAAACTACTGATTGAAAGAAAAAACGCCGAGACACGTCAGAAGATACATCAAAGGGGACAACTTTTTAACCAATAACTACTTCACCCCCTTTCACCCTCTGCACCCTAGGATCATTTCCTTGAAAATTTTAAATGACAAGGGGTATCGAGTGATAGCTTGTTTGAAAAGTCTTCCGAAGTCCTTCATTATGACGTTTATTTTTTTCAAATCGGTCGATTCGTTTTCCAGAAAATTAGAAAAATATTATTGATCCTAATTTGGGAATTTTCGAAACAATACATACAAAAATATTACATTTTATTTCAATAATTGTTCAAAATGTTGCCCGTTGGTGGCCAAACAATGATATAGGCGATGTTCAAATTCCTGACGGACATTTTCAAATACATGTTGTTGGATATCATGGCAGCTGTCGATAATGCGTTGACGAAGTTCATTCAAATTTGCAGGTTGGGGAGTGAACACAATGGACTTCAAATGGCCCCATAGAAAAAAGTCTAATGGCGTCAAATCCGGGGACCTAGCAGGCCATTCTATAGGCCCTCTTCGCCCTATCCATTTATCGGGAAACTCGTTGTCTAGCCATTGTCGAACCGGAAGAACATAGTGAGGAGGAGCACCGTCTTGCTGGAAATATATCTGAGCCTCATCAAGTGTAGGGTTTCCATCCTCTTCGATTTGGTTTTCAATGGTTTCAGTGATAAGCGGATTGATAGTAGTTTCCAACATATCCAAATAAATGTCTCCATTTAAATTTCTATCAATGAACAATGGCCCAAGCACTTTGTTTCCTANTTATTTTCATTAAAAATATTTACGCTATTTGTTTTTTTTTTCATCTGGCGGCACTTTATTGTTAAAATCATAAAAAAATATTCTCATGGCTATATCTGTTGATATAGGGTGTTTTTTGTAACTGTTAGCTGTGTGAGTTTTCGAATTTTTGAGTTGTCATAACTTTGTTGATAATGAATATTTTTCCATGAAATTTTGGTCACACCTGTTTAGAGGCACTCTGAATCCAGTAGCATAGTGATTTTTTCAATAAAAAAATCGCTAATAAAAAATCCCGATTTTCGACTAAGAAAAAATATCGTAGTATGCCCTGAAACTTTAATAAACATTTCAAATTTTGTCCCAAGGTAGACCTTGTAGTACTTGACATTTCAAAAAGGAAATTATTAAAATCGGTTTACAACTTCAAATTTTAGGGGGGTGTTTCCATTAAAAATGGGTCACACTGTATAAAAATAATTCCAGGAACATAAAAATTAACAATGATCAGATGTGACCTTCATTTTGAAATGAGAAATATGGGAATCACAAACGCCGTGCTGCTCATAAAGTTTGAATACTCTAATTTTTTAGCAGTAAAAGCTGTGAAGTTTCACTGATTCTGCAGTGATTACTCTTGGGATTCGTACATGCATAATCTGTGGTACTGTGACAAGGCACCGTAAAATAAACACAGAACATCAAACTACGAAATTACTGAAGTGTCAATTAAGCAAATAAATGTTTTTGTAAAATTTGATTGATTCTAAGAAATAAATGAAAAAAGAAAATTGTTGATGATTTGTTCAAACTATGTCGGATCTCGTAGCGAAATGCGTTTTGAGAGTGGAAGTCAACGAAGTGACTGATGGATCAGGTAGGATTGATTGAAATAATTTCAAAACACTTCTAAATCTCATTTTCAAGAACCCAAGGGTGCTGAAGCTTTACTAAATACAGATTCCAAACAAAAAAATAGGGGTCAAAGGCAACTTCGAGATATAAGTGTAGAAACATTCCCCAGCTCCTTAGAGAGCCCCAAAGATGATTGGGGAATTCTTCCTAAGTACTCCCGGGAAGTTACACCTATTGGGGAAGTGGAAGATGCAATTGAAGGAAAGGTTGAAATAGGTTTTTTCAGTGGCAATCCATTTGTGGAAATTACCAAAGGCATACTGCATCTTTACAAGGAAGAGTAGGTATTATAATTGTAGTAAACTTGTATACTGACATTCACATATGTTTTTTGTAGTGTATTAAGTAGCAGGAAAGAAGCACTTACCTTATGCTTATTAGGAGTTCCAACAACAATGACCTGTCATGACTTGTTGGCATTTACAGCTCCGTGTCATTGTGATATTAGCCACATAAGGGTGTTGCGAGACTCTATGCCAAATCAGTATATGGCACTGTTGACGTAAGTAATTGATGAGTGTTGATTTTAGATACAAGTTACACATTTAAAAATGATGGTTGCCTGCACTGCTATCACCAGTTCGAAAGATTTACACTATTAGCTGCTCAATATTCACTGAAAATCATTACAGAATTCAGAGATACTGAATTCATTGGGAGAAAGAAAGAAAAGGAAAATTACTACAATAAACATTCTTCATAAAGATATCTGGGGCATACACAGACGTTTTTTTCAGATATAAACTGAAAGAAAAAACCCTTTTAAAACAACTACTTTCACATTAACATTGAATTACACAAATATAACTTTTACCTATTCAATTTGTACTACCTATAAACATTTGTTATGGAATTGAAACAGATATCATTCATGTTATACAATGTGATATATATTTTTTTAATGATGGAGAAGTAGAAAGCAATAAATATATTTCTAAAAAATTTAATCTGAAAATATTCCCTTTTCTATTCAACTGAATAACTGTGACACCGCCTTTCTCCAAAGGTGTCACAGACAAAATAGGAAGTATACCGAGGTGAAAAAAAACGTCCATTCACTCCAAATGACAAAATTCCTCTTGAAAATTAAGGGGTGTACAGCATTGCATGTGGGGACTGTAACCAACACACTAAAATATGGAAGACCAGAAAAATCAGCAGTCCCCCATCATATTTTGCAACAAAACCATTCCATAGACTTTAGTTCATTTAGATTAGTTAAACAAGTTAACAAAAACAGATATCCTATGAGAGTGTAGAAATAAGTAAACATAATAATATTATGAATAACGATGGTGGACTAATACCTAATAGTATACTATGTAGCTTGTTGAAATGATATTTTATTTATCAGATTTACCTGACTATTAGATAAAATAACATTGTAAGATTAAATGAAACAAATAAGACACAGGTACCTAACAGAGGTATCTATGGTATAAATAAGGACAACATTGTATCTATATTTAGTTTAAACTTCGTCTTGAAGATGATTACTTGGTGATCGAAACACGTGTCGAGGTGTTGAAAATAACAGTTTGGTTTTGCGATAAAACTCCATTAATATCCATTATCCGATTTCAAATAACTACACAGGAAAAAGCGTAATGGCTTCAGATCTGGAGATCTTGGGGGCCAATCTATTGTTGAGCGCCTATCAATCTACTTTGTAGAAAAACAGTTATTTAGAAACTCGAAAACATCATGTGCATAGTATAGGGATACACCATCATGTTGCATCCATATTCCTACTTTCATTTGGTAAGTTTGGATTGTTGGTGGTTGGAAATATATTGGCATGCGGCTTGCAAGGCATTCGCAAGCCTACCTCATTGTTGTAACATTGTACAAATTTGCTCGGGGTAGTCTGGGCTTGCGCTCGTCTCATCATACTTTGAAAGTCAGAAGAGTATCTATATGGACCAATGGTTCCTTTCCAGGTTTGGATAATTCGTATATCTCATACTTGACTTTTTATACAGTTTTTTCTGTATAATGTATGAAAAAGACAATCACAAATACTGCGTTAAAAAGTATATATTCTGAGTGAAGAAGGTTTTGAAAGTAAAGTAGGGCTACTTCAAGTGAGACCTTATGGAAATTTTCATTTCTATTGGACAAGGAGATAAAATCAGAACTCAGCAAGAGGCACGTGACTTGCTTAATGCGAAGTATCCACATAGACATATCACTCGTTCAACAATTGGTAAGATTGAAAAAAAAATAGAGAAGTTGGTCATGTCAAGCATATTCTGGATGATGAACGTCCTAAAAAAGAAAATAATGTTAAACTATTTAAGTAATAGAAAACAGAAAGTCCCTTTTAAAGATGCAGTATCAAATGAAAAAGACATTGATGTAGGTGTTCCCCAAGGTAGCGTTCTGGGCCCACTTCTTTTTGTTTTATATTTGAACGATATTGAACTTTTTGTTGAAGCTGAATTCATAAACCTATTTGCTGATGATACGTTGCTTATATGTAGTGATATGAATTTAGATAGAGCTATTCACAAAATGGACAGGATTTTAGGAACGGTAAATGAGTATTTATGCACTAACAAATTATAGTTAAACTTAACAAAAACAAAAGCAATGATATTCACCGTGAAATATAAATACAGTTCTCTAGATATGAATGGTATAAACCTCAATATCAATAACGAAAAAATTGAAGTTGTGTCATCAGTCAAATACCTTGGTTTTCCATTGGATAATTTTTTAAATTTTGACAATCACTTTGAATATATTCATAAGAGAATATCGAAAAAACTATATTTTTTCAGTAGAATAGCACAAAATTTGTCAATGCAGTCCAAAGTAACAGTTAACAATACCATTATTCAACCACACTTTGATTATGGTGCGTCATTATTATTTTTATTTAACCTCAATAAATTAAATATGCTACATAAACTACAAAATCGAGTGATGAGAGTAATCTTGAAAACAAATCGCCGTACTCCCATAAAAACTATGCTTGATTGTTTGAATTGGTTATCAGTTGAAAGTAGACTACTATTTTATAATGACTCTAGTATACAAAATTGTAAATGGAATGGCACCAGAATATTTTAAAGACTAAATGAAATTCAATAAAAACATTCATAATTATAATACAAGAAATTTCAATAGTATAGATATAAACAGACCGGCAGTCGGAAGTACCATAAACTCGTTATTTCAATGAATTACCAGAAGAAATAAAAAAAATACTCATTTTAAACGATTTCAAAAGATTACTTAATGAATGTTTAACATATGATACTGAAATTTTTATATGTAATGTTCATTGTCTGGATACATGCTAGTTTAAATCTCAAATTGTTTAAATTTAAAATTTGTTGCATACATTTTTTTTATATTGCATTGTGCTAGTGTATTACATTCATAGATATGTATATTAGGTTTTCTGTTTCAATAAAGATTATTATTATTGATGTTTTAGTGTAGAGGATAATCACCACATTAATTAATGACAATTTGTATCAGATAATGGCATATCTTTCTGTATTACCTATTCTGAAACTAGATGAGTATCATCTGTACAAAGTACAACTGAATGAAGATGATTTTAATCGCCGTATGGCATTCTGCCAAATGAAATTGGTAGAATTACCCCAGTAGTTATTCGCAATGTGCAAGAGGAATGTATCCGTAAATTTGCTTATTGTCATGAGACTGGTGGATAACAGTTTGAACATCTCATTCAACTGTTGTATTTTATTGGATATAAAGTTATTCTCCCACTGAAATAAAATACATTTTTGGTCACCCAGTACAAAGTCATCAAATTAATGATCATCACTGAATGCAGTATTGAAAGACCTTTCTGATGAAATATCATAAGACTTATATTTAGATTTAAAAAAATCACCAATGACGTTACTATGCCAAAACCAGTGACATAATATCTTAGAATATACACTTAAAAATCGGCATTCAAAAATAAAAATCGACCTATTTCATAATTTTTATCGAAAGTACAATGCTTTGCAATTAACGATTTTGTTGCATAATTCAGCCACTCACTTATGTGCAAAATGCCATCTTAAATTTTACCTAAATTGTAATACATAAAACCTTTCGTTTGTGATTACACCTATATGAAATCTTTCAGATTCAGGAACCATGATGCAGCAATGGAGTTTTATTTAACTTTTAACGGAGCACCTTTCAGTAGTCTTGAACCAGACAGTATATGTCGAATAGTATGGGTGTCCAATGTTGAATGGGCCCATGATGGTTTGCCACCACCAGGCCACACAGAATTGCCAATTTGTCCAGTTTGTCTTGGTAAACATGTAGTTTATAAGCTATTTTTCTTTCCTAAGTCTGTAATATGTGGACTGTTCAAAAAATAAAGTGAATGTTCAAATTTCGCGGGCTACGTACATTCGATTAGCGTTTTTTCAATTGTTTTATGTTGGTACACTCGTCTCGAACATATGATCACAGATTCAGCTGTTTAGCAGGTTTAGTTCATTGATGAGAGGCATAAAAGTTAGAAGTGTTTTGTGTGTTTGTGGATTTTCTGATATCTAAAAAAATGGATCAAAGAATTTGCATCGTTTTGTGTAAAAAATGAAATCAATTGATCAAAAACACTTGGAATGTTGACAGTGGCATATGGTGATTGTACTCAGAGTTATAAAAATGTATACAAGTAGTACAAGCTTTTCCCAGAAGATCGAGAAGATGTAAATGACGACACTCGTATCCATTTTTCTCTATATTTTGAATTGTATAGTCTATAAGTATGTTTATCTCAGTGCTTTTACTCATTTTCATATGCTTGATCAGGGCCGTAGCGAAAATAAAAAGTAGGTATGGGATCTCCAAGTTATGCATGTTGAGAAATCAAAACCTTCTCCCTTATTTTTTCAATTTTCATTAGTTTTTTTAATATTATTTTTTTCTATCTTCACGGCCCAAAATTTCCCAACTTTTTCCCAAGTCGAAAAAGCAGGGGGGGAGGCTCCCCCCATTCCTCCCCATGGCGACGGCCCTGTACTTGAATTCACTTTGAGTCTCACTTTTGAATGAAACGTCGCAATGTGAATTAGTTTATACCAGATGATATAAAATAGCACTTGACTTTTATTGCTCCCCATATAGACCTTTTCATCATAAGACGAGCGCAAGCTTTGCCGTCATATTGAAATGGCGGTAATTCAAAACATTCGTACTGATTTAATCAACAATGGCTGGGCAAAGAATATTATCTCTACAAACAAATAAATGATTGCAAAAAAACCATTCATGGTGCTTCACTTGTTTATAATTCAGTTGAGGCTCATAATTGTGAACAATGGAAAAGGTGGTTAAAAAGTCATGGGCGTCCGCAAAAAGGAAAAAAGTGAACTGATTGAGAGGTTAGGTATCAGCATTTGTTTACTACCTAAAAACATATAAAAAAATAGTATTTACGGTTTTATTCTTATGAATAATGCAAATTTATTTGATGTAATTGAAAATATATTTCAGTTGACAAGAGTATTACTTATGGAACTAATAAATAAATCAAGCCATTAATATTTTGAGGCTGTACAAATGACATTATTAATTAGACAAATATGTAAAAACTGAATTGAATATGTTTAGTCATTTTTATTAGTGGGAAATATTTAATACAACATAATATATATGAAATTTACAGTAAAAAATGCAATAAGGAATAATGTACGTATGTTGAAATTCCTGATAGCTTAAAGGATCAGGGTTTTGTTCAGTTGGACCACTTTCTCCAAAGAAATGTAGTGAGCAAATATATACATATAAGTATCTTTGGTAACATAATCAATAGATTCAACTTCGGTCACTCCTGCCACATTTTTTCATCCATAATTCACATTTCGCACATGCTTTAATATGTAATTTGCTTGATGATTTGATTATTTTTTTTTGCGATGTTCAAGACAAGGCTTTGGAAAATTTAATAGTATGTGTTGGTATTGAATGATTTGTATCGTGTATCACTTTTACATACTCCATAACAACACCGTTTTGTTGTTCCTTTTCGTACAAATAACATGATTATAATGGAGTATAAACATTTTTTTCTGATTATTTTGACTTACTACTTTATTTTTTTCTCTTTTTTGCAATTAATAAACGTCAATTTATATTTTAATTTTTAAAACATGAGTTGCGGGCTCTTTAACATGGTTGTTAACAAAAAACAGTACGAAAAAGATGGCTAATACTGACGCATGCGCACAAAAAATTGTGATGAAAAGGCCTATGCAACTTTTGTCTAATTTAAACAAACTTGTCTTATGATAGAGCAATAGAGGAATAGTGTATATAGTCATTTACTTTGTGAGTAGATGAAAATCTATAAATAAATATAAATATAAATAAATAAATAAATATAATTGATGGAATTTGAATGGTATAGATATGGTTCCCAAAGTGTTCAGATAAGTTGTTTAAAAGAAAATATAAAAATAAAATAAAAAAAATTAAAATCAGTTCAAAATATATTTTAATAAATGTATTTTTATTAGTGATATTTTCTTTATATATTTGTTCAAGTTAAATACTGAAAATATTGAAAAGTTCAGTATGGAAAAGTCAGATTACATATTTTTTGAAAATAACATTATTATTGAAATGTAATAAAAATCAAAAAAGTTGAATCTGGAAAGAGAGAAAAGTGAAATATGTATTTTTTTTCTTCTCTTCAATAAAATCAATCAATCATTTCAGTATCAAACTACTTTCACTTGACTTTTTTCTTTTCTAGAATTCAAATTTTGAAATTTTCAAACAAATGAAACTGAACTCTTCAATATTCACCATAAGAAAGGATTTTCTAGGTTATTGTGAAGTTATTGGGATTCAACTAATTTGATGAAATGTTGTCTCATTTATTAGAGTGTTTTTAAACAAATGAAATGATTGGAAAAACATTTTTCAGAACGAATGGATGAATCAGTTGATGGTGTATTGACTATTCTTTGTAATCATGCGTTTCATGCCAGCTGCTTGGAAAAATGGGGCGATTTGACTTGCCCCGTCTGCCGATGTGTTCAAAGCCCAGAACAGGCTGCAACCTCTGAATGTGAACAATGCGGATCTACAGCTCCCTCACCTGATTCTCTTTGGATTTGTCTCATTTGTGGGCATGTTGGTTGTGGAAGGTAATACATTATTTTTTCAATAGTCAACATGACCTTGTCGTATTTTTCAAAATTTCAATATACTCGTAATAATGGTTTTATTGCAGATATCAAGGTGGCCATGCCGCTTCACATTATAGGGAATCTGGGCATTGCTATGCTCTTCAATTGGGCTCTCATAGAGTTTGGGATTATAAAGGTACTTTTTCTTTGATTGGTTTGAGTAATATGATAAATATATCCGTATTAATCCGTACACTAATATAATTACTCAAAAATACAATATAATTTTTCTCTATTAGAACTATTAATGGCAAGTTTGACACCTCATAAACATGTTAGGCAGCCAGCTATCACAATCCAAATGTGAAAACTCCTGTAAAACTTGTAAAGTCCAAAGTGGAGTTTTTTCCCAACACCAAATCGTTATTTTTAACACCTCGATACGTGTTTCGATCACCAAGTGATCATCTTCAAAGAGGAAAATTAAACTAGTAACTAACACGAAGCTAACTCTATGCTATAGATATCCCATACAGGTAAACCATCCAGGTATACCCACCTAAATTAATTTTTACAATTTTGCCTGATCTATTATTTTACAATATATGTTTAACTGTTATAGCTGTATATAAAACAATTTTCAGCTATATAAAAAATTTATTTTTTATATTTTATTTTTGCAAAGTGTCCTTATAATTACCAAAACGTCAAGAAATGGTAGTTGTCCCTTACTTTCTAACTCGTACGTGAATTTTATTGATTTTTATTTGATTGATTTTTTATTAAAAAAAAAGTTAACTAGTTTAGTAATTCCATAATTTTTCTGAAGAAAGGTTGGTCGGGTAGTTTAGGTCCAAAGTGAGTGGGTCTATTCGACCCTTCACCGCAACCCGCAAGGGTTGCATCGATGTACGCCATTGAGGTGTTTCATATAAGTAAAATTTTATCCTTTTCATTTACTATTGGGTTGTTTCGAAAGTTTTTCCGTTTTTATGAATCTACTGTTAAATTTTAGTGAATACTCATTTGATTTAATCGAAATAAGCGCCATTTGAGTCAGTGCACTTTTGCCAACACAACATAAAAATTTGTACTCGATGAATGCCGTTTTTGCCTGATCCTGATTGGCGAATGTCCTACCAGTGAGAAAGTTATCGAAGTGCTTGAAAAAATGATACTCTGTTGGCGAGAGGCCTGAGGCAGAACTTCGACGCTCAATTCAATTAATTTTTGGACGCTGATTTGTGAAACCAGCAGATGGGCGTTATCGTGGAGTAGGATCGGACCTCTTCTGCCCACCATTGTAGTAGTAGTAGAAGTACTTTATTTATTTAGGTTACCTCAATGTACAAACGTTCTTTAAAATATAATACATAATGTAAGTGTAAGTACAAAGTAATAATACAAAATATATAGTTACTTTAAAAAATCAATATGATAACATCAATGATTTATGAAAGTTGAATAAATGAACATGAGAAGTAGAAATGGAAAAAATAATAAGGATGTCACAAAAAATAAATAAATAGATAAAACTTTAATGAGTATAGATACAGATGCACTCATACACATATATTAAAATTTATTATGTTTTTGATATGCTGCAATAATGCTTGTTTGAAAGTGTGAATATTTTTGTTGTTTCTCAAAAAAAAACAGTTTATTAAATTCCCCCAGTCCTCTCAAAAACAGTGTCTGCTGCTGCTGATGCAATTTTCGGTACATTCGGATGTTTGGCCTGGTTGCAGAAAGTTATAGTGACCATGGTCTTTTTTTGGTGGGTTTTCGCCTTTGGGAAGTGCTTGGGTGTCCTCGGTGTCCAGCCACTGTCTTGAACGTCTCCTGTTGTCATAGAGGATCCACTTTTCATCACACGTGATGATCCGATCCAATATAATATAATCCAATGTAATATAAGAAATAAGTTTGTAAACACATTCAGTTCATTATTGCCATGGTAAACAGTTTAGATATTTACTGGAATAAACTGGAGTGAGTTATAAATACTTTTTTTCTTAAAATCATGATATTTATTGTTTGGCAGATTATTAAAACAAATTAAAAATTGTTGAGTACTTAGGAATAGCTGAACCAATTTTCAAAAATATAACAGTGAAGCATAGAGAAATCAATTACCGATCACCACAAGACACCGTTGTTGTTTGAAATAATATGCTAGGGGCGACCTCTCCACTACAAGTGAAGCAAACACTATTGTTTTTCATCAAAAAGTAGTAAAAATAATGTCATTTTCTATAAATTTTGACCAACTTTGATTTTTTGTCCCGTTCTAAAGTTGAAGGGGACTGTTTACGATGCATCTTGAACGAATAAACTGAACAAGCCATACATATCACTGTAAAGAATTAAACAAGTATTTCACCTTATGGAATCGCTTCCATATCGCCTTTTTAGGTTAATTCACAGTGGATGAAGAACAGGAATATTATAAGGGAAAGCGCTGCTAGAAATATTCACTGTTTTTCTACTTCGTAACTGGTGTTTGACTCTTTTGAAATAGTTCTAAACGTTTGGAGATTATAACCAAAGAAGACCACGGCAAAACCTGGAAACCAACTAAAACACGACAGTTCTAAACTAATATCAAATGGATGTATATATACGGATCAAGATTTTTAAAATTTGTGTCCATATTGTTGGTCTATTATTTCAAAATTGCAACTTCAGAATTATTCAAGAGATATGTGAGCTGAAAAATTGCGGGGTTCTTACTTTTATAACTTGTAATCCCAAGCATTTACTCATATTTAACCCTTAACTGGTAACGTGCCATCTGTGAGACTGCAGCCATTTTTATTTTCGAGGTATTTCTAAAATGGTCTCGCTCTTCTGCGAATCACGCCACCTAATCTATTAGCTATTGGTGCCCCATCTATCATTCAACTGGGAGTAAATTTGGGTAAACGACGTCTGAGAAATATTTAGTATTTAGTTGAGCACAGTCCGTGAGACGGCACGTTTCAGTAAGCATTTCTCGCGACTCAAAGTAATGGCGGGTCCGTCAAAACGGGTACGTTATGAGGATGAAGATTATGATGACACTCTTTTGTGTTGGTATAACGAGACAAATAGTGACTGCCGTGAAATAGATAATGTTTCGGAGGATGAATTTGAAATTTCCGATCATGGCAGTCACAGTGAGTTATCTCAAGGTAGTGATAGTGATGAAAGTGCGGAGGAAGAAGAAAATCAAGAAACAACAGGGGGAAAGAATTATTTGTATGGAAAAAATCGCTACAGGTGGTGCACAAATATCTGTGTGTGGAGTGTGTGAAGCCAGTAGGCCTGCAGTGTTCCAAGCCGAAATGCAACAATTGTTCAAACAAGCCTAAAATTCATGACTTGTTTTTTCTTTATAGATACTGCGTTTTGTTCATTGTCAATCATACTATGCATGAAATTAATTTCTTTTGAATGATTTTTAACTTTTTTGTGGATCTTTCCAAAATCACTACCAATTTCCGTTATAGTTGAAAAAGATTATTGGGAAATTATTTTTGATCAAGTTTTTGTTCGTTATTTTATGCAAAAATATTTCAAAAGAATATATACCTAAGTGTTCATAATATATATTTTGAAAAAAATATTGGAGATTTTTTTTTGCTTCCAAAAAGTGCCAGTCTCACAGGCTGCACGTTACCAGTTGTGTTTCAGAATTTCACGTTACCAGTTAAGGGTTAAAAATGACTTTAATCTTGCTTATGAATTAAGGAAATAGAAATAAATACTGATAATATTAGAGAAAATGGCATTTTGGAACGGTAAATGACATAATTGAGGTAGTGACTTAAATAAAAACATTACTAGGCTATGAGATTATGTTTTCCATAGTTCTTGAGAATATATTTCCAGTTCATATTAACAATTATTAAGTTAAACGTCTTTTTTGCAGGCGATAATTTTGTCCACAGACTTCTGCAAAACAAGGCTGATGGTAAACTTGTGGCATCAGAAGGTCCACCCTCTGAATCGGAATGCGCCCAAGAGAAAGTAGATTCTGTTCAACTAGAGTTCACTTACCTCTTGACATCTCAATTAGAAGAACAGCGTCTTTATTTTGAGGACAAATTATTGAAGTAAGCTTTTTATATTTTTGGATGTCTTCAAACTAATTCAAATACTATTATTACTACAACATTAGGGAAAAATGAAATGATACCGATATCATATATTCAAGATTAAGAACTGTGAAATGCATTATATTTGTTTGAACATCATCCAATACCTTGTACGGGTGTTGTTTTTTACTGACACAACTGTTGTTTACTTGAGAACTTATTTTATAAATTTACATATAATTTAATGAACAAATAAAGTGTCAGTAGTCAAATTGAAAATAGTTCTTTAAAATGTTTGACAAAACTGAATATAACTATCGATGACTTCATTTTCACTCCTACAAAATATACATCTATTAAATGTTTAAAATGATTTTCAGTTTAGAAAGCCAAATGTTGGAGGAAACCAAACACCTGAGGGATAATGTATACAGCATATCTGAAGAAAATAAACAGCTAAGATCAAAGCTAGTTGCTATTACAAAAGAAAAACAGGCATTGGAGAAGAAAGTAGAGCAGCAGCAAACAAAGTTGAAATTTAGAAATTTACAGTAGGACTCTTGATTTAATGAATTATTTTTCAGACTGACTACAACTCTAAATGATCTGAATGAAGAAAGGCAGTTGGGCAAAGCCCTGAGAAACAATCAACAACAATGGCAATCTAAAATAACTAAATTGGAAGAAAAATATAATGAGTTGAAAGCACACAAGGAGGGAGAAATTAGAGAACTGAAAGAGCAAGTTAGAGATCTGATGTTTTTCATTGATGCTCAAAGGGTGAATATATTTGGTCACTAATTAGTTTTCACAATTTTTATAATTATTTGGAAGATTTGCCTTAGTTTAATGAAAATATATTTGTTATCTAAGGGAAGTAATGGAGTATATAGAAATGTAATTTCTGAAAATTTTGTGAAATGGTTTTATATAAAAATTGAAACTTTTACAAAATATATTTGAAAAATTGCCAACAGGATATATTTAACTTTCTGTTCCAGGTAATTGAGAAATCCAATGAAAGAGAAGATATAGCTGGTGGTACTGTAACTATTGGTGAAACTCCCCAAACTTCTAAACGCAAAAAAGGAAAAAAGAAATTATAATTATGCTATTAATTTTAACCATTTAGTTTATATTTTCTACTAAAATAAAGGATTTTATCTGTGTCTGTATTATTTCACATTTGTAAATAATATTAACAATGATTATATTTTTAATTCAAATTGATATATTTGAACAATGTTGATTCATGAATCCAATAATTTTGAAGTATAAATGTAGTAATAAAGGAATTTAAATGAAAATAAAGAATCAGTTGAGTTGAAGTGAAGAATAACATTACTTTCAAATGAAATGAGATATCAATTCAAAATATTCACACAGGAAATGATTAGTATGAGTAAGTCTAGAGTGTATAGGGATGAAGTATGCGGATTTTAATCAAGTATCGGCCAGAGTTCTATTCAAGAATTCATTGTCCAATGATACTGAATCATGAAATATAAACAAAAAGTGATAAATGTGAGCCCTTGTTGGATTTATCAGTTATCGAAAGGAAGATTACTGTACTTTTCGAGTTTCCAGTATATGGTGAAGAAATTGAATATATCAGAATCATACATACCATCGCCAGGGGACACGATACTGCCTGCATCATCAAATAATAATGTTGAATTGGATAGCAATATGTTTTGGCACAATTACATTACTGGTAAAACAAAAGCAGTTTCTCATAAACTTGAAATGAGATTTCAAACTAGAAAGTTGAATAGACCTCGTTTAACACTTTGTGAAGTTTTCTTCTTCTCCTGAAGACGCCAACTTGATTGGTTAAACGTGCGTCGAGAAGAGTATCGCATTTCTGGTGATTGGGAAAAGTGTTGTTTTCGCAGTGTGTGCCTGAAAGGAACTTTTGTATGTGAATGATCCATTCATCTTTGTGAAGGTTATTTTGAATTTGATCACTTAAGGGGTACCCAATTATCGAAATTGTGGCGAAAATTTATCCACTGCTGTCTTACAGGAAAATCTGTGAAAACTCAAACAGGGGCTCCATTCATGTCCTGGTATCTTTGTATATAGACTAACCCTGATATTATTAAAACATTACATACTAATAATACATACTATACTATAAATAAAATAAACTGTAAAACACTTATTAACGACGAAATGTTTACCATAGAAACATTAGGGGAAAATTCATAAAATGTTTTAATTTTAAAATTCAGTAACGTCAAAATTGCTGTCACTATGTCACTGATGCCAACCTTGTTTGCAAGCACACTTTCCATTCCAAAGTCGACTCTATTTGGGAACTGTAATGTACTATTTTACAAAGAAAAACTATAGGTTATAACATTGTGAGTATACAGACAATTATGCATTACAATAGTATAGGAACCCCCTCTAAACAGTAACCCTGGGGACGCCTTAGTCCATTTACTTATCATTTTTATTATTTAAAAAGAAATGAAATGCTGCGAAGTCCATAAGAAAACACGTGTCGTTCAAAACTAGTGAAATCGAATAATAAGGAATAGTACAATTCGAATGTTATTTCATTTTAGAAATACTTATTTTTCAATATTTTATTTACGTACACTCTTTGTAATTAGTATTAGAAATTAGCATACAACGAGGAATTTCATATACAATATAACTATGCAAAAAACGGGAAATTCACAAAAAAACGACGAAATGTCATGCTTTTAGAAATCTTTGTTTTTTCTTAAGTTTTGTACTGCCACCCTGCGTCTATGTTCCTCTAGATCTATTTATTGGTAAGGCGAGTTCTTGAATCCACTATAAAAATTTCAATTGATTGCTTTAAGTATAGAAACGCCCCAATGTTTCGAATGGACCAATAAATGAATCTGTCAGATCTACCGATGAATTAGATTGAGAGCTAGCCTAATGGAGAACTCTCAAAAAACAAGTGTCAAATATGTAAAATATGTCATTTTTTACGAAAGATGAAATTGATAAACAATAATTTAAATATTTAAAACCCAGTAATATCCACCAATGTCAGGATATAAACGAGTCAGTTTTTATGAACTTTGCAGATTGTGCGCCTCTAACATCCAGAAAGAAAAAACACATATTTTCCAGGAGGAAGGAAAAAAAATTCAACTACAGAATAAAATTCAAGTTTGCCTGGCTATTACTGTATCTCAATTCGTTGTGTTGATTTCACGAATAACACTAAATAGTTATATTTTAGGTCAACGAAAATGATTTTTTACCAAAAGTTGTGTGTTCAAAGTGTCTGCGAACTTTGGAAACATGCTTTGATTTTCGTCAAGAATGCGTTAGATCAGAATCAATGCTTTCTGCATATTTCAAGAATTTCAGATACACAGATGATTTCAAGAGATCTGGAAAAGTTTATATAAAAGATATTAAACCACCCCCTCCTGTGGTAATTCAACAGAATCCTGAAATATCAACTTCTGCAAATATAGCAAATACAGTGCCAGTTTCTACTGCTACAAGTGGATCTCAGAATATTATCAGTGTAAATAAGAACCAACAAAATGTTGAACAAGTACCATTTTATACCTTACAGCTTCCTACTATAGTATCTAATCCCAATGTTAATAGAAATCAAAAAGAGTTGATTGACAATAAGACAACACAATTGTCGCAGAATCAGTTTGCATACAACTTAAATTTAATCAATACAGCTAATATAAAAACAAATTTATCTGCACCAAAAAGTGAAATTCTCAGTAACGTTGTTGTGAATTCGAATGGAGAAGTTATAAATATAGCTCACATGGGTGATTTCGAAACTATTCTGAATCAAGGCAGTATTATCAAACCAAAACACAAACCTAATAGGAACTGCAGAGATATACATTCTCTTCACGATAATGTTGTACATATAGATTTGACTGAAGATAACTCTCCTATGTATGAATTAGATGATAATGACCCTAAGTGTAATAAACTTCCACATATAAAAAGTACTCAGACTCAAAACAAATATTCATATTCGGTAAAAGTTGATGATAAGAATCATAATCAAACAGTTATATTTCCCATATCAGAATATAATCAAAGTTTCAATAACTTCACTTCTCCTAATACTATATACACACAATCGAATTTGAATTTAGTAAACTCGACCAACCCCATAGCTGGAACTACCAATGTTATTTGTAATACCTCAACAAATCTGGAAAATACCACATTAAATATGAATGTTTTGAATCCGAATATTCAAGATATCAACCAAGCTGCTTATACCAATGTTATTTCAACTATATCTTCTTCGAATACTAACAGTGAACAAGAAAATTCCAAGGTTGTTGTTCAAGTACCATTGGAAGACAGTAGTAATGTAAATAGTTCACCTAATCTATCGACAACAAGTAATTCAAGTTCGTTGCCCCCTAAAATTCACTCGTGCGAAGTTTGTTCACGGGCTTTCAAAAGAAAGGAGCACTTATATCAACATGTAAAACTGCACACTGGCTTTCGTCCGTATGTCTGTGAACATTGCAATAAAGCCTTTATGCGAAAGGAACATCTAATTCGACATAGCACGCTACATTCAGGTCAGAAGAACTATACTTGTAATGTTTGTGATAAGAGTTTTTCTAGGAATGATAATCTTCTGAAACACAAAAAAACACATGAAAAACAAGCAAGTTATACTTGTGACATATGTCAGAAACAATTTGTTATGAAACATTATTATAATGCTCATAAATTGACTCATGGGGATAAGTGCTATGTTTCTGCTGTGTGGGGAATGCTTAAAACTTAGTAGAATTGGGTTTAAAGTATGCTGTACCAGATAGCAAATAGAAAGATTTTGACTTATTTGTAATTTTTGTTGAAATAGTTTTCTATCTGGTTGAGCATAAGTTTCAAAACATTTATTTATATATTTATTTCATTAGTACAAAGTATTTATTATTTTATTTGAATTTAAAATATGTGCTGAAAAAGTTAGTGATGTATGACTAGTGTAGAAGGCCTTTTGTGTGTTCTACATTGTCAAACACATATTTTTTAGTATATTATATATCTGTACTACAATTTTCACGGTACGTCTAGACTTTTTCATTGTATGAATAGCTTTAAGTGGTATACCAGAAAAAGCCCAACTAGATCTTCAATTGTTTTACCTTTCAAGTATTGAATTTTAATTATTCAAACCATAAATAATTAAGTAAAAGACACAGTTGTGTAATCTATTTTTCTAATATCAAGCTTCCTCCATTGAATCATTTATTTATTTTCTGGTATACTCTTGGAAAAATTGTTAAAATCTCACACAAATATAAATAGGGTACATTCATTGCTTCAGACAAGAAAATTGTGTAGTCTTTTTTCTTTGGAATTGTGATTTATAATGTACCCACTATTGCATGAATTACATTTTTTGAATATTGTTTTTGAATAGATGTTTTTATTTAAGTGAAACTACTGTTATGGCAACATTATTTTTATGCTTTTTTACTTTTGAGTGAAAACGTATATAAATTATAGATGTCCTATTTTACCAAAAATCTGTATTATGATTATCTAGTCTGAGAAAAATTCTCTTCCAAGTTGTATTTATTTTTAAAATAAAATTGTATAAAATTGTTTTTTCAATTCTATCCCATCAAATACACAGTGCATTCCATTTAAAACGAGCCACCCTGAATAACTTTTGGTACAATGATTTTCAGGAAAAATAAAAAAACACGTCAACAATAGTATACAGGGGGACACAGTTTGACATATTCATATTTGATGTTACTTCCCCTATCACATCCCCGCATGTCACCAATTTTTTAAATGGATCACCCTATTTTGTTTCGCATTAACAGATGCTCCACGATGAGCAAATTTCAACAAAGTGTAAAACATATGGTCTGAAGCTCATGGTTCGGCAGCTACAAATTATCTGAATTGAAAACGAGCCACCCTGAATTACTTTAGGGACAATAATTGTCAGGAAAAATAAAAAAACAGGTTTCGAGGTATTACCTCATCAGTGCATACCTCGAAACAGATCTGTAGGTGATATACTCGACTGATTTCAGCATGGTGCTGGATGAACAAGAAACATCTGCGAAACTAGCCTCTGTGAGGTATCTTGCATAAATGTCTGTTCAATATAATTTCATATCCAGCGTGGTATTAGCCGGGGAAGTAGTTGTTTTTTGCAGGCATTCACCAAAACCTACCGTGTAGGTACGTTGGGAAAGATGAATGTTTCGAAATTCCATTTCGAAATATTTATTTTGTTATACGTATGTATTTCTCCTCGATATAGATTTCAGACTCATTTGATTTCTGTTGAGTATCGGTACATGGGATGTTTCTTTCCCGCTTGGAGCTTTGTTCACGAGAAGGAGCTGTTACTAGTTAACAAAAGGTTTCATACATGCAGTCGAGCCGCGTTGAAATTAATCACCGGAGCGATTTTCTTAGGCGTTTGACAGAGTCTGGCATGACGGCAAAATGATCAACTTTGGCTACACGAAACCAATGGTAAGATTAATCGAGTCTTTTTAAGCTGACAGGCGATGCCGCTGCAGAGTAGGACAAGAACTTTCAACGATGCGATTACTGGAAGCAGGGATCCCACAAGGTGCAGTCCTTTCGCCACACCTCTTCTCGGTATACACAGCAGACGTGTCCAAGCCGGAGAACAACTTCAACAAGTTAGCGCTCTACGCGAACGACACAGATCTGCTGGCGAGATCAACAAGCCTAGCTCTCGTCATTAGATACTTGCAGCAACAGGCAGATAAATTAGAGGAATGGGCCAACCTGTGGAAGATCATGACAAGAGTCAGGCAATACTTTTCACCCGGAGGAGGGCACACCCGGAAAGAAATGACATCTTCAACGGACAAGAGATTCCGTGTACCAACGAAGCTAGATACTTGAGGGTCAACCTAGACAAAGGAAGCTGCTGATGATAAAGACCGTAATACTATCGGTAATCCTGTATGCCTCCACTGCCTGGGGCTAGTGCGGCGCAGCGACATACAAAAGGCAGATCCAGTCGTTTATGAACGCGTGCGTAAGGACTGCCGTAAACGCTCCAAGATATGTACCGAATAGGTAAATATCCGGGAAATAGACCTGAATATACACTACGTGGAGGCATACATGAGGAAACACCCAGAGTATGTTCGACAGAATTCGAGCGCACGACAACCCAGCGCTAAGCGACCTACATAACGTACTAAACAGGGATGACCCCAGATTTCGAGAGAGGGATAAACACAGGAGGCCAATGAAGCAGAACCAAAGACCACCCCCGAGAGTCGCCGCCTGGCGGCTCCGGTAAGTATAGAAATTTCTCAACCAGACTTTAAACTAATGTCATTTTCAGATTCACTAAGAACCATCATCACTTGCTCGCGACTAAAAAGACTCTCGTCTCCGGTTAGTTTTTTGGGACCCCATGCAATAATTAATTTAGGAAAGTCATGATAAAACAATTCAACAGATCAGAAAGTAAAAGCACCTAGAGGCTGACTTTCGACCAAAGAAGGTTAGATGTCATCAGTAAGTTGAGGCCCGTTCCGGAGGAGCGGGGGTTGAAAGACGAGATGAGATGTTCTGCACATATTAACCGTGTGGGGAAGATTTCAACTCAGGGCACTCAACCTGGGAGGGGGCATAAGGGTTGAAATTAATCGAGTCCCAAGCAGACTGCTGTTTGGTTTCGGATCTCTCCTCGATAATAATGTTTTTAACATTTCTTGCATCTCATTTTCACCTCTAAAATTTTTAACTTTTCTGACAATGAAGGTTTGTTCCTACCCAATTGGTACCTTCAATTCTGTTGCATTGTCTTGCTTTGTATATCCTATTATCATGTGTACTTCGTCTTTTCCTGGTTGATTTCCATTCTAAATACCTTCGCTTTTTCAGTTATTTTCCTTACGATTCGTGTCAGTTCTTTTTTTAGTTTTTGCTAATATTGTAACGTAATCAACAAATGTTATGAATTGATGCCCATTTTTTTAAATTGTTTCTTCCATCCTCATCTGGCTCCTAAACATTTTCTCTAGAATCAAAATGCGGGATCCCCTAACTGAGTTCCTTTGTTATTTAAAAATCAACTGATCTTGATTCTTCCATCTTATTTCTTGAAGGTCATTCCACTAATAAACTTGTCAGCTTTCAGATACTTTCAGTACTTTCATCGTCTGCTGATCCATTTGCTGTATATCAATTATGTCATATGCTTGCTTGATATCCACACAAAGCGTTTAAAGTGCGCACTTACATTCATAATAGGTTGAATATTACTGGAGTTTTTTCCCAACACCAAATTGTTATTTTTAACACCTCGACACCTGTTTCGATCACCAAGTGATCATCTTCAAAGAGGAAGATATTGAAGATGATCACTTGGTGATCGAAACACGTGTCGAGGTGTTAAAAATAACGATTTAGTGTTGGGAAAAAATTCCAGTAATATTCATTACTACACCAAAGGTTCCAAACAGTGCATCATAAGTTCATAAAAGGTTGCTTGAATTTCTTTCAATGAAAATATCTGCTATATCGCTGATCGGTTTCGCTCTAAACCTGCTCCGTATTCTCCGGTTGTATTTTTCTTATACTTACAAAGGGTGCTCCGTAAGCATTGTATCAGTACTTTGAAGCATGTTTCTAACAATGCAATGCCTCTATAATTTTCACAGACTTGTTTGTCTCATTTTTTATGGGAGATATTGTCGCCATTTTCAAGTCTTCCGGAATATATTTCTCAGCTGCACTCTAACACTTTCCATAATAATTTTATGTACATTTTTTTTCTTGTCCATGAATATTTTCATTGCCTCAGTCCTGGTATTATATCTGAACATTTTTGCATCCTCATGAGTTGATTTTCTCTGTTATATTTACTATCAATGTTCCTCTTTTGCGATTCTTTTTATCTCTCTGTATCTTCCCTACCATTTTGTTCATATCATTATTGTTTGGTTGATCTGTTTCAATAAATTTTCATTTTCCATTTTTCCCCTTTATCTATTCTATTATTCAGCTCTACCAAACTTCAATTTCTAACCTTGTCGCTCCTTTAATTTTCTCTGCCAGTTACCCATAGTTTTCTGAAATGTATCTTCTACTCTGTTTCCTCCACTACGCTCAACTTCTCTCTCAGGCTCATGTTTTAATTTTTCAGCTTTTCATTCTCTCATTTCTTTTCTATATTGTCTTTGTTCAACTGTCATTTTTTGAAGGTAGGTAGGTATGATGTTATTTTGCTCCAATATTTTATATTAAGATTATCTAACAATAATTTAAAAAATTATTCGTATTTTTATTCAAAACTGGAATGATTTACAATACTACTTGCCATTTCCCTATACGAATTCCAGCTCGTCACAAATTACCCCTTTCAGTCTCGGAGGGCAAGGAGAAGGGGTTTAAGTTGCCAAGTCATAATTTGAAATTCACTTCAAGGGGTCATTGTAGAACATGCAACACCCCACACCATCGATTGTCACGAATTTCTCTACCGTAACCGCAGCCGTCTGTTTATTCTTGCTTGACCACTGCGATTGAACAGATCAGCGCGTGAAAATTATTATAAGTGTAATTTGGGAAAAAAAGCGTGCGAGTGTAAATATTTACTTAATATATATTCACGAATGGACAATACAAATGCATGATAATTTTTTGGAAGTGGTTTTAATTGGCCGGTGTCGTGTTTTTGAAGTTATTGAAAAGTGAGAGCAGTACAAAGAACCTTCTTCTCACTAATCCCCAGACATCCAAACTTTTTTTATTTAAATGGAAATCAAATTTTTTTATACGCTCATTTGAACATCATGGATATCTCTATAAGAATGAATAATAATTGAATTGTCATAATGATGGATATGTCACCAATACTGTTTTTCATAATATTTTGTAATACCAATATACCAATTGACATCAGTTTAAACTATAAATTTTGTGATCAAAGGAAATACTGAAATAACCTACTTCAATACAAAAAGTTATTTCGAAAAAAATGCCTTTAAGTGCTCTTGACTTGTGGAGTAAGCTGGTGAATGCGAGACCAGAGCGTTACGAAAAGTGTGATCTGGCGAGGTGAACGGGAGTTGAGAGGGAGTTGTAAGTTAGTGAAGATATAAAGAGAGAGAGAGAGCAACAACCAACCTAGCTAATGCCGCACAGAGAGTTGAAGTGAAACCATCAGACAGTTGTGCAACGTCTTCGATTTGAAAGATGACAAGCAGAAATTAATTTCATTTGGTCGATACGACCAACCGATAGACCGGTTTCGGGGTATTCGCCCCATCATCAGTACCGGGCATGGTATCTTCAGAACGATTTGAACCGTCTGAGTATCACGACCAGACCTGCACGTCGTCTTGAGTTTGTTCAGGTTAGAGCCCAGCTACCTTAGCCTTTTGCCTGATCTTTGTCGAAGAAGGACAAATGGGTTCATGACTTAGGGGATGTTGACGGCATGAAGTCCTCAGACATCAGTGCCGCCTTTCACGGGGTACCCCTACCTGGCTGGGGTGGGATGGATGAAAGATCTGTTCATCCTTTAACGGGGGACATGAGGCCTCATTCGACAGATTGTCGGGGCCTTCTATATGGGGAGGAGTCGTCTACAGCATAATCTATAGCTTCCCTGACTAACGGATTTTCGTGAGTTTTCGCACCTTCAAAAACTCGCCGATTCCTCGTCTGAATGGACTGCCGAATGGAAGGCAGCTGCAAATCTCTGCGGATAGCTTCATTCCGCACGAACCAAGGAGCATTCACAATCATCCTCATTAGCTTATTTTGCAATACCTCCAGAATGGAGATATTATATTTCGCCGCTTGTCCCCAGACGCCTGAAGCATACATGATGACAGGCTTGAACATCGTATCGTAGATGGTATTCTTGTTCTTCAAACTCATTTCAGATTTTCTGCTGATCAGAGGGAACAGACTTGCTATCCGACCCTCGATCTTTGACTTAACGCACATAATGTGCGGGTTCCAAGTGAGCCTACGGTCTATTAGAAGGCCGAGGTACTTTACCCGCACTTGCCAGTCAATCTTCCTTCCAGAGGTTCTCACTTTTCTGGCCGAAGAAGATAGCAATCTTCCCATAGTTATCGCCTGAGTCTTGTCTGGGTTCACTCGGATCTTTCAATCGAGGTATCAGCGCTCGAGGTTGTCCAATGCACATTGCATATAGACGACGCCGTGCTCTCGACCCATGGAAGACGCTGACGAACATCTTCATTTCATTCAGGATTTGGAGACCAGCTCCCCTACCCTTTCGGCTGATCATTGGCCTTGAGATGGACCAATGGGTACATGACTGATGGATGACGGCATGAAGTCCTTAGACATCAGTGCCGCCCTTCACGGGATACCCCTACCTGGCTGGGGTGGGATGGATGAAAAAGTTACTCACCCTTTAACGGGGGACATGAGGGCCTCATTCGACAGAGTGTCGGGGCCTTCTATATCGGGAGGGGTCGTCTACAGCATAATCTGTGGCTTCCCTAACTAACAATGGAAGACGAGAGACGAGACCAGCTAGTCATGAACTCTTTCTGCAGTTGATTCAGTGGGATATCCACTGCGCCACCTGCAGACATAGCCAGAAAACAACTCCACGAACACACCATATTCTAAAGACGGTAGTTTTTTCAAAAACTTGAAAAATTTCTAAAGTTTGTCCAGTCATAAAACACAGGATCTATAGGCCAATTTCCGTTCTCAGCAAATTTACGAAGCTCTTGAAGGTGATTATGTACAACGGCATGTACCTACTTGTCAACCAAATATATTATTTCCGATCATCAACATAGTTTCATGAATTATAGATCCACAATCATTAACTTAGCTGTTTTTGATCAATTTTTATGTGAAACACTGAACCGTAGGTGACAGGTTGACACCGACCCATCTAAGGCTTTCGATAAAATTAGTTATGTGATTCTCATTCATAAACTTTCTGTTAAGGATTTTAATGGAATCTACATTCATCTATTAAAATAATGTCTTGATCAAAGGAAGCAGTATGTCTGCTATAATGGTTTCTCTACAAATATTTATTTTGCCACTAGTGCTCTTAAAGATCTTGCTAATCTTGGGTCATTACTTTTTTACTATTGATAAATGATTAATGAATCACATTATACTTCTGTTAACGATATAAATGACTGTAATGGATTGCAAAAGCGGTTGAACACTTTATAAATGACTGGTGATACAAAAACTGTCTCACTTTAAATATCTCCAAATGATTGTATGATTTACCAGAAAATTCAATACAATACAACTTTTATACAATATCAATAAAACCATCTTAAATAGAACTATCACTATCAAGAATCTAGGTGCCCATTTTCATTAATGTTGAACTCTGCCTATCGCTCTCACGGTTTCATAGAATTTTATCTTTTACTTCCCTATATTTCAGCTCAGCAAGGTCAAAGTTAGAATAGGAATCCTCAATGTGAAATGACATTTATAATCAGTATATATCAAATATTGAATGAGATCAAAAGAAGTTTTTGAGATACTTACGTTTCAAAACTAATGGCGTGTATCTTCAAAGAAATTGCAATAATATCGAATTCTTGCGAAACATTTGATCTTGTATCTCTTGAAAAAAGGTGAAAACAAGCATCTATTCATTTTATACATACGTTGTTGAATGGTAGAATTGATTTTAAGGAATTACTCTTTGCAATAGATTTTTTTGTACCAAGATCAACATCTAGAAATAATACCACTTAATTATGCAAAAGAGCTCAAACTAATTTATTGGTAAAATCACCAGTAAATTTGATGTGCAGTACTGCAAACCAGCTGTCTTTCTCACATGATATCTTTTATTGTACTTAGTATATGCGAACTGAAAAATAAGTCTTGTGCACATATGTGATTCATGGATAATTTTATCGATGATTTTGTAGTTATTTTTTTTATATTGTGTGTAATTCATTTCTTTTTGTATTAAAATGAAATAATGCTATGAATTTTATAATTGAATCGTTCATTTTTGCTCAATAAATGGGAAACTATTGAACAATTAACGCTATTATTTTATTTTTCTAACCTAAGTTTGCACTGGTCGGGCCCTATCCCCCGAAGCCCCGATACAGTCAGGAGGTCGCGCTAGCATTATTAAGTAAGTGATGATTGGGCCCGAGGATCATGTGCCCCGAGCAAGTGCAGTGAGCCAAGAGCTTTCTGCATTTGTCCGGCTAAGATATCTGCCTTAGTGCGGCAAGCCGGTATGATTTTGAGATTCGAGAGTAGAGAGGACATCATTTCACCAAGGACTCCAATAATCAGAACAACCATCTTTATTATTATTATTTTTATACAGTAAGTGTTGAAAAATCTGGCTTGTAGTAGCTCTAAAGAGGAAGAAAATCCATCATGAAAAACCTGGCCACAATGTTATCCTCAATATGGCCAATATAAGTATCAGAGTAAAGATGAACATCCGTAATTTATCCTGTGGTAGAAGTCCATTATATCTCAGAGTGGAGTGCAGTAGATTAATACCATAACTCATTCTTGATGAATAAGTATACCAAGTCATTCAATTGAATTCAATTGAAACTGAAAACACAGCAATTTATGAAATATTCATTCGTTGACTACTCTGACACGCACAACCTTCACCTGACAGAAACATCCGTGGTCGGCAAGTTGAGGGCCATTGAATATGTATGAACCTCAAGACATTTACAACAGCTAGTTAAGGAGAGAGTGTTTACCAAAATTGAACTCCGTAATGTGAACTGTAACGACGTGAAATTTTGTAATCTCC